TTATTTAATTTTTTATTAATTTAATTTAATTTTTAATTTTTAAAGTTGTCCATAAACTTTTGTCCACCCACTGTATTAACCATATCTTATTAATTTAATTAATCAATAGATTAATTATTATATAAATATTTTTTGTTTTTTATTTTTGTTTTTTTTATTAATATTTTTATTTCTTTGTTTTATTAAAACTGTTTGTATTTTTTGAGTTCAAAGCTTATATAATACTTTTATTATTTTATTTATTATTATTTTAAATATATTTTTTATTTTTGTTCTATTTATCTATTCTATTAATTAAATTAAATTTTTATTAAAAATATTTTTAATTAAATTTTTTTTTTAATTTATTTATTAATTGTGTTTTTTCTTTTTTTTTATTATTTGCTTGATATCTTTTTTTTTAAAATATTTAAAATATTAATATAACTTGATTAATATAGTATTTTTTAAAAATATATTTTTTGTTAATTGTATAAAAATATTTTCCATTTATATAAAGATTAGGTTTTCTTATACTCAATTTGTTTTTTATTAATAGTTATTATTTAAAAGTTTTTATTTAAATTTTTTATTGTTATGATTTTGTTAATTAATATTAAAACTGATAATTTTTGATAGTAACAAGCTGATCTATGTTTTTTTAATTTATTTTCTTCTTATTTTTTGTTTTTAATTTATTTTATATATTTTTTATAATTTATATATTAATTTATTTGCTGTTTTGCCATTGTTTTATAAATATCTTAATATTAAAATTCAAGTTATTTTTGTTTTATTAAAATATATAAATAAAATTATTTATTTGTTAACTTTTGATTTCAATCATTTACTTATAGCCCAACTTTTTTTTTTCTTTTGTTAATTCATTTGCTTTCTTTTTATTGTTTTTTAAATATATTTTTATCTTTTTAAAAATTATTGTTATTATTCTGGATTTAACCTTGTCAATTATAAGAGTTATTGTAAGCAGGTTTGTTTCTTTTGCTATTTCAAAAGTTTAGATTGTACTGCTTGAATTGTACTTTGGCTATCAGTATATAAAAATTTTTAAATAAAATCATGTTACTATAAAAATAATAATCTTTTTTATTATAATTACATCATAAAATCGTCAGTTTTTTTTTTTTGCCAGTATTGTATTTTAAAAAAAATTTTTTTTTAATATAACTTTACTCTCTATAAATGATTTTTTATTAATGAGTTATTCAAATTTGATATTGGATCTATTATATTTTTTGTCATTCACAAGGGTTTGTTTTATTATTATTCTATATCAGATGATTTTCTACTGTATAAAGGCTTAATGATAAAAGAGTAATATATGCAGTATTTGTTACTTTTAGAAAATTATTCGGGCGCATTGTTTTTCTGGGTAAATAATTTTAAAGTTGCTGAAGGAACAAACGGAACAAATAAGGGGATCATTGTTAAAGAGAAAGGCAAATATTTTGCATGCTTATTTGTGTTTTGTATGTTAGCATTAATAATAACTTTAATAATGAAGACAAATGCATTCAAAAATTTGCGATTGCCTTTGTCTCTCTACAATTGCACCTGCGACGTGCCGCATTATTAAAGCGGATCAATCACTAGTCAAGTGATCGCATGCGTAGCGGGAGACAAAGAAATTTCTTGTTGTTTCAAATGGGCGCTAAACTAAAATTGGGGAGATTTCGTTCGGTTCGCCTTTCATTCATGCACTCAAGTGTTTCTTATAATGACATGAAGCCTTGGATATAATCACGTTTAGAGGATCAGATGCATGTGATAATAAACGCTCCATAAAAACAGTTGTTAAACCAATTAGAGACGCGTATTCGCGTAAGATGATCCGTTGACTATTCAAGATAAAAACTTGAATGTGGATTTTCTTGCAAATAATCTTGACTTTTCGTGTTTCTCCCTTGATTCATTACTTAAACAAAGTCGATATTACGTGCGAAAATTTTTTCTCCAAACTTCAAGTTTTTCAATTAAACAATACAGATATCATCAATAGGATGCAAGAGACTCTGGATAAAATTCAAATGCACGGTGATAACCTTAGTCAGCAAGTTGACCTAGAAAGTAAATTTGTGTCGGATAGAAACATTTCTTCAAAGGTTTGTGAGCAACTTTTTTTTCCGAAGAAAAAATGTCAAATTTCCTTCACCTTCAAGAGTAACAATTCACACGAATTTGCTTCAAAAAAAAACAAAGTTATCTTCTTCACATGAAATGGCCAGCACGCAGAATTTGCCTCAAAGGTCTTATGAGATAAATCCAAACTCTGGAATAAATCGTCATCATCACTGTGAGCATTCTCAATGCTTCGGGCAATCAGACCTAGCGCATTTCCACGATGTTCAATGCGAGAAATCGTTCCAAACTATATCTAACCGGTTATCGCGACATTATGACCGTACTTTCAATGATGGAGATGTCAGAAAAGATAATGATGGTGAACAACTTTGGGAACTTCTTCATAAAGTGAATGAAGCGTTGGAAACGTATAATGAGTTTAATCGCAGTCGCCGGGGAGAGAAGAGAAACGTCGAACAGGAGTTGATTTTTCAAATTCATGAAATTCTAAAGAGAGAAGAAGGCAGGACCTTGTATGCTCCAAGAGACGTCGCATTACAGCGGACGGAAAATAGGTTTTCATCTCGTGGCCGCATCGATGATGGATTTCACCAAGATGCCTATAGCAATAAAGTAAGTTCCCCTTTCGGTAAATAATCATGTTCCAACCTTCTTTCGACTGATCAAACTGTAACTAACAGAAAGTTCTAATGCCTTCGTTATATAAGTGCATGCCAACCCGGGGAGTATCGCTGGAATATTGGGGAAGACATTCGATTGATAGTGTAGAACACACGTTGTCACAATCTGAATGGTTCGGATCCCCGAAATGGCAACAGAATCAACAAGACTGGTTCAACAATGACATCCCAAATCCCAATCGAATATTATGTGACAACTAAGCATACATGTAAAAACTAATATGTGGATATATATTTCTTTAATTTGACAAAATATTTTTGAGATAATCATTAGGCATTTTTAATCCATTCGTCATGTCTTTTTACTAACTCTGCAACAATCTTTGATTCAATCTCCACTTCGCTTGCAATCTCATCATCAGACAACTTTATTTGAAACTCTGTGTCTTTGGTGATGAAGATTACTTCAATCTTACGAGT